GCACATGGTTTAGTGGGGAGATACTGCTGGTAGGTGGATGGTTGGACTGGGTAATTTTGGAGGTCTTTTCCAACCTTGGTGATTGTACAACTCCATAAAGAATACATATACAATAATTCACACCTAGGAAAGGTCTCAAATAATGCATTTCAAATGATCTAAAGTTCTTTTCATTCAAAAAGGATCAAATCAACTTTTGCACAACTGCACAAAAACCACATCAGATCTCCAATCATCAGTGCACACAGACCGCAGCACAGAAGGAAACGGAGATCACAGCTGTGGATCCCTTTAAAAAGTTTTGAAACAAAATACGATGATTATCTTTAATTGCTTATCATTCAACAAGATAGTTCAGAGTTCCATCCAATCTGTATTTCAAGAAAACAAGCTCTTACGTAGCTTTTTGATGGATTTTCAGCCACATCAGATGTCAAGATTAGCAGGTAAGCTTATTAGCACGTTCTGCAATAAAGTATCTGCTGCAACCATCTAAGTTTTATTTGTGCTGTATAGAAAGTACAGAAGAATTCTTAGTTCTTATACTCTAACACTATAAAGGGCACAAAACCTCTTCTCATCATTCTGGAATAACTCTTTCTGTGCATAGAAAGCAAGCAAATCTGGACACCCATCAGAAACAAAGATGTTTAAGACAGGACAAGACAACTGTACTCCACAAGACACAGAAATTACACATTACATGAAACTACTTTAATGGATAAAGCTGCAAAATATTTTGGTAAGAATTTGCAGAGGTGATGCCACTTAGCACAAAGGAACAGAGAATGCTTGCAGAATAGGAGGTTCATGGCAGGAAACACAAATTCACATACAACAGCACGAGAAGAAGAACAGTAGTGTTCCTCAGGCTGGTGACACTGTGACCACCACTATTTAATATCTTTGTCAGCAACGTGGACAGTGGGACTGAGGGCACTCTCAGCAAGTTTGCCAAGGAAGCCAAGCTGAGTGGTGCAGCTGATGCACTGGAGCAAAGTGCTGCCATCTAGAGTGACATGTAAAGGCTTGAAAGGTGAGTCAGTGCAAACCTCATGAAGCTCAATACGGACAAGTGCAAAGTTCTGCACTTGTCAGAGCAGCTCCAAGCACAAAAAAAAGCTGGGCTAAGAATTGATTGAGAACAGTCCTGAGGAGAAGGCTGTTGGTTGATGAGAAGCTCAGCACAACCCAACAAAGCATGCTTGCAGCCCAGAAAGCCAATTGTATCCACAGCTACATGAAAAGCATAGCCCGTGGGGCAGTGACTCTGCCATTTCACTCTGCTCTCTCGAGATTCACCTCACCTGAAGCACTGCATTCAGCTCTGAGGTCACTGGCAAAAGGACATAAAGCTGTTGGACTGAGTCCAGAGCACCAGGAAGATTATCAGAGGGCTGGAGGACCTCTCCTATGAAGACAGCCTGAAGGAGTTAGCGTTCAGCCTGCAGAAGAAAAGTCTCTGGAGAGACCGCATCTCAGCCTTCCAGTACTTGAAGGGAGGCTACAGGAAAGCTGGGGAGGGACTCTTTATCAGAGATTACAGAGATAGGGAAAAGGGTAGTGGCTTTAAACTGAAAGATGGTAGATGTAGATTTAGACATTAGGAAGAAATTCCCTACTCAGAGGGTGCAGAGGCACTGGCACAGACTGTCCAGGGAAGCTATGGATACCCATTCCTGGAGGCATTCAAGAACAGGTTAGATCAGGCCCTGAGTAGTCTGATTTGGTGGGAGCAATCCATGACCATGAATCCATGATCCATTTAGGACTAATCTTTAGGGTCCCTTTACAACAGAAACCATTTCGTGAGATTTCATATAATCCATAAAATATTCATAAATTGCAAGCAACTTAAAGATTAATACAATATGGAACTTCAGCTCATAAAAGAAGACCTCTGCGCAAGTCAAAGTAGTCATCACCAATGCACGTAAATGCGTGAGATCAATTCTGAGTTCATTAGGTAATGCTCTTCTGGAAAATGTGGATGCTGAAAAAACTAACATTAGCTTCAATCTTTATTCTAGCAACGCTGTCTCCAAACAAAACATCAACTAGGCTTCCTTCACAGACAACAGAGAGCAAAGGAGCTCTCAGAACAAAACCTTCTGGGATCAGGCCTTGCTAGAACTTTCTTCTGCATCACCTTAAAACAAAAATTCAACCAGTTATAAATCAAAGAAAATTTAGTAATCACAAAATGAAACTCTCCCATCCCTTAAAGACACACAAATAAAGACTGTCATATTTCACACCTTTTCTTTTTTTCCAAAAATTCTGAACAAAACCAGAAATTAGTTAATAGTTGCTCACCCCAAGGCTAAATTCAACTTGCCTTCCTCACTCTCTGCCAAGTAGCTTTACACATCAGAGGCAGCAAGCTGCTAAGAAAGGCACTGCATAAGAACTTAAGATGAAACACAGACTGAAATGGGACTAGATTTACACCTGACACAAGCAGAAGTTTCATCTCTGTACCAATACAAGTCTTTCTGCAGAGTTAATTGTCACTGAATAGAAGTATTTTTCAAATTAGATCTACTAATACATTGGAAAAAATAATTATTCACCTTTTTACATTTCTCAGGAGAAACCTAGCATACTCTTATCATCCATAAATAGTACAATAAAGATATTTGGCAGCAATCCTAAACCTCTAGAACCTCCTGGCGTTTGGTGCATTTTGAAGTGGAATAAAATAAATGTCAAGGTCTTTTGATTATCCACACACTTCATTGGGTTCCAGAGGTTTAGTAAACACCACAAAAATGATATATCAACATCTGGCTTTTTTCTCCCTGCACCATGAACTATGCCTCAAAACTAAGAGGCTTTTCTTGAAAGAAACTCATACAGCAAGTGACCTTCTGTGAGGAGCACTTCTGTATTCTCCCTTGGAACCATCCCAACTGTCTGCTATTTTTCCTAGGAAAACAGCATATCCCAAGCACAGCAAAGCATGCAAATGACACGTGCAATCACTGGGGCTCTGCCCTCCTACATACATCAAGATCCCAGAGGAAAGTTCACTGGTAAGGCTGACCACCCATGGAAACCCCCGCCGCGTGACACTCTGACTGGAAAAGGGAAACCTGCAAAGGTATCCTCCTGTCCTGTTTACTCAGGGACTCCTGTAGTACTGTAAATATTCTGGTTAAGATTAAACAATTTCGTTCCATATGTTTGCATCTGAAAAGCCCTCTCATGAGGGCTCACCTCTTAGGAATATTGAAGTGTCTCAAAATTTATCCAAATTTCCATCTACAGTGGGGTAACTCATGCTGATGTAGTAGAAGCGGGACGACTTTCTACCGCTCGCACAAATCCCGGGTCTGCTGCCCCGGGTTCACTCCCTCGAACCCGCCGTGCAAGCAGGTAACGGCCCTGCCCGGCAGCGCCCGCCGCTCGCAGAGCGGGCTTGCGGCGCCCCCTGGTGGGCACGGAGGGAGCAGCTGAAGACTGGCGCTAGGCTCCCGAGGGGCTGCGCGCCCAGCAGTGCGGGACTCGCTAACCGCATGCCGGCGCTCCCAGCACGGGGCTGCACGGCCCCTCATACAGCGCTCAGCCACCCTCGCTCAGGAACGCCGTCCTCATGTGGTGACACCGCCCCTTGTCCCCTCACTCGGTTCCTCGAAGGGACAGGTCACTCTCCTGTTACTTCAAGGGGTGAAAAACAGCACAGGAGGTTCCGTAGGAATATGAGGAAAAGCTGCTTTACTATGAGGAAAAACTTTACTATGAGGGTGACAGAGAACTGGAACAAGCTGCCCACAGGAGTGGTGGAGTCTCCCTTTCCAGAGATACGACCCACCTGGACACTTTTCTGTGTGACCTACTGCAGGGAAGCTGCTTTAGCAGGAGATTGGACTCCACAATCTCTAGAGGTCCCTTCCAACCCCCACAGTTCTATGATTCTGTATGGTCAGACCTCTGCTCTGCCTCCTCCAGGCCCAGCAATGCCAGCCCTCATACACTGCATATGCCAACCCCAGCCCCCCACACTGCTGAGGAACAGAGAGGAGCAAGGACCTCACTGGAGACACTCCTGAAGATGCGCCTGGCTTGCAGCACCAGAGAGAAGCTCAATGTCAGCCTGGCCAAGAATGGTGTCAAATCTCAACTCTTTTAATACAACTCATTTCACTGGAAAAGCTCTTCTTATTAAACATTTATTCTGTACTTAATAGGACATGCCTTAAGTTTTATTTTCTGCAGTTAAAAAACCTCCCCCATACAAGAATAGAAACACTACCAGTCCTAGCTGATACGATTCAGTATTTACTTCTGCCTTTCCTAAGCTCTCCAATCCTCATCACCAAAAAGACAGTCCTATATTTGTTAGTCTATTACCTCACCACCGCTCAGAGATTATGCCCTATGCACAATAACTGAATTTGATGTGGGCAAGCTCTCAAAACACTCCAGAGAAATAAGCAGCTGTCTGATCCAGCACATAACAGAAAATTGACATCAACTTGCTGGAAAAAGCCATTAGACAAGGGCTACAAAAAATCCAGATCACCATATTTCTGGTAAGAAATCTAGATCCAGGACATCTTTTTGTGCACATGTTGAAATACAAGAAATTCCATTTAAGAATAAACTTTATTCAGAGTGCTTAAACAGCTTGCTCAGAAAGACTGTGGAGTCCTCAAGGCTGAAGGTACTCAAAACACAACCACACAGCCCTGAGCAGTTCACTCTATCAGATCTTGCCTTGAGCACAGAGGTTGAACCAGATGATCCCCAGGGAGGAGCCTTCCCATCATTGTCATTCTGTGTCTCAGCAATCACACTACCAATTTCTAGGTGTGGGGCACTGGTGGTTTTGAGATTTGGCAGTCGGAGAAAATATCCCGAAATTCTTGCAAACAGGATTCCTTCTAAAGTTAAGGTAAACAGAAGCCTCACATTCCTCCAAGTTAAGTGCAATCAAATAAGAATACACTACATAATTATAAGAGAAAAACTCCTTTTAAAAGAAAACACTTTCTTACCTTACAAAGCTCATCATTCTCCTCTTGGCCAGGTAGAGAATTAAGATTTGTGCAGGAGTCAGTGTCCGATATCTCCAGTGAGCTGTCATCTTTCTCAGATTCATTACATTCATCTGCAGAATCACTATCCTTCTCCCAGTCAATAAACTCTAAAGAAAATTTGTAATAATGTTTCTTATTCATTCCACATATTATTCAAAAATATGAATTTAAACAGTAAAACATTAATTATCCATGACTTGGGAAAAGCACAATTTTTGTGCTTTTTTTTTTTTTTTGCTACATATGTTGAACCTGCCTTTATGTTTAACTACTTTATGATCCTATCCCTTGTAAAATCCATACAGAACTTCCATGAATGAATATATTAAAAAATAAAAATACAAAGTGCTGCCCATAAGGAGGCAGCATTTTTAACTACTTAGGTAAGTACTTGGTTTAGTTGTTAATTTCTTAGGATTTAGAGTGGTTATGGGTTTTTTTCCATCCAGTTGAATCAGATTTTTTTCCCAAGTGTACTTATTCAGAATTAACTGTTTTAAGTAAAAGCAAATATGTCAGACAGTGACCCAGAAGGGCTGCAAAGCTGATGGAAATTAGCACCTGTTATGAGTGGTAACTCCCACGCATAAAAAAAATACTTGAAATGGTAACCTTGTAAAACCATGCCCAAATACACAGGTCTGCAAACCAAACCTTTGACAGATGTTCGTATTAATTTCTCCTAAACAATCAGGCACAAGAAGACATGTGCTTGCTTCAAGCAAAGAACAGTGACAAAATGGCAATAAACACAGACACTGCTCTTTCACCACACTCGAAAGTACGTAGTCCAGAAATACACTTGTGCTCATCTACAAGGATCTTCTGAAAGGCAGTGGAAGCCTGAGTTGCTGCAGCAGGCCTCCTCAACCTTCGGGTCCAAGTGTCTCAGCACACAAGCTATTGGCAAAAAGAACCTCATTTAATTTTGAAAAGATAAAGTTTGGAGGAAGAAAACTGAAGACCTGAGTTTTGCTTGTATTGCTTTTGCGGACAGCAGAGAAAGGAGGCACCTACATGTAAAGGTGCTCTAGGCATCTCTACAGATATGTGGAACAGTGGTAGTATGTTCTGTTACAGTGCTACAACAGTTTCACAGAATTGAATCACAGAATTGTAGGGGTTGGAAGGGACCTCCAGAGATCATTGAGTCCAACCCCCCTATCACTAATTTCTTCACAGGGCTTCCTAATTCTGAAGCCACCCAGACAATAAACAGAAAGCTCTGGTTTGCCTGTGTGAATTCATTTCTGTTTCTAAAAACAAGCAAGCTATATAGAAAAAGTTTTAAATATAGTCATTGGTGACTAGTTTAGCACAAAGAGGTCTCTTGAAGCTATGTGTCACACCGCATGCAACTTTTGATGGCAGTATGAACCCCAAGTTTTACCTTGTCACACATAAATTAGTCAATCCATTTGTTCAACTCACAGTCCTGTTTGAAAGCTACCAGATAACCAGGATCTGAAGTCTGTCTGTAGTGCTTCAGATCCAGCTCAAGTAATCACATTGAAAATACTTAAGTTCTAATGCAAATTAAACATTATCCTAATCAACTAAAATACACAAGATTTTTCTGTCTTCAGCTGCACTTCTTTAATCAAAGTCTCTGCTATCTGGCATGCCTTGCTCCATGAAATAGAAAGCAAGTCCTAGAAACAAAACTCATGGTTGCTTGCACAATACAGCTAGCAGAGAAAACAAGGAATACTGTGTACTGAAATGAAAACTCATGCCACGTAAAATGATGTTATCTGCAGCTGCAAAGCCTGCCACATCTACTCAGTATATGTAGAGGCAGCAACACCCACTAGAAGAACAGAGCAGGCAGAGGAAGGTGTTCACAACACCAGCATGGAAATGGTACAAAATGGACTCCAGTTTAATTTTTTTTTTTTTTTACATAATTTATAATAAGAAGTTATGCTATACTCACTGATACGATGGAAAAAAGTCCTCCAAATGATCTAAACCTATTTTAAGTCATGTCCTTTAGCCAGAATGATCTCACAGTATTTTTGTCACAGCACTTGAAGCTGACAAAGTTCCTTGACAAATCTGCTCGTGTTTGGACTTACCTTCATCACTTCTGTCCTCTAATAAAAAATGCCTGCCCTGTGACTTCTCTGCTTTGCAAGTGAGACTTTTTTTGCTGTGTAACCTTGAAATCGATGTTTTATTTTCATTATCTGAAAAATCACTGCCACTAGAGGTCCAAATTATGTCTTCAACTTCCTTAGAGCTTTCAGCAGCAGATCCTATTAAAGAGAATTGTAAAGTTTTAGATCATTACAGAAATACAGTACAGTTAAATTTAAAATCCTATAAGAATTATGCTAAACTGTTTTTGAACTGGAAAAAATTTACCAGTGCTGTCAGCAAGCAAGAGATCAATACAGGAAAGTTAACTTAAATATTTCTTATACAGTCATGCTTTATTTTCATTTTGATTCTCTCTGCTGCTAGAGCAAGTAGAAAGACAAAGACTGAAGAAATCACTGCCCTATCTCTCCTTTCCTCTGGACTCAAGAAGTGAAAGATATGGAGACAGTCCATAAGTCCTCATACTCCTCATGACGCCTAGGGTTCTTTTTCCAATCACAACACTAAACAGACTCGGGTACATACAGAAGATGGTGAATGCAGGATGCTGACAAAGTTCTGTTTCACTGTCTATTCCTCATACAATACCTCATTTCTCTCATGCCTGCTTCTCAGTCTCTAAAGTGAAGTGAGAATTATCTCACCCTCTATCTAGACAGCTACAAGTTGGTTTTCACTTCCTGCTCTTAAAATTGTGGACAGTGTTCTGTCCCTGCCAGGATACATAGTATATACTATGTTAGTAATAGTCTACCTGTTCAAGAGCAATAGCTAAAGTTTTTGCAGAGCTGGCATTCCAGGTTAAGAGAGGAGCTCAATCACAGTAGCATCAGGACTGTCTCATCAAAATTAGATTCTAAGTGCAAACACAGAAGAAAACCAGTAGTTCTGGCAGCTTACACCTTGATAAGGGACAAAACAAAGTAGAAGTCTTTTTGACAGTACCAAGACGACACTGCTGTAACATACCAACTGGGCTTTCAGCAGTTGTTAAGAGTGGTCCAAGGTGCTTCTTAGTCTTAGATTTATTATCAGCAGATCTCAGTGACTAGAAAGAGAGATGTAATCAAGATTATCCACACTGAGTTAAAATTGTCCTTATAGCAATATACTTCAGATCTGTTATTATACACCCACCACAACTGAGCACATCTTCAGACAGATTTTTCAGTCTCCTACTACACTGTAGTATCACGAGAACATTAACATGAAAGCTTAACTTTCATCACTGAGGAAAATATAAGTTCACTATGACAATGACAAGATTGACATCTAACCTTGTAAAGAGCAAAAGCTACTATTTTCAGCATTAAAATGTCAAAAAGGGGCAGGAAGACCATGCTTAATAAAGCACGTGCCCTGTTCCAAGGCTGCAGAAAAGCTTTCCATGCTCCTGTGTCTATTTCATTAAATCCCACAAGCTATGTAACACTAGGACTGCTCGGTAGCAGAAAGAAACAAAAACAAATCAGTTGAAGATTTTCAGCACACAGCCCTTTCCCACTCGGAGCTAACTGAGTATCTCAATTCATGACCAAGACTAACATAGAAAAAATTAAGCTTAATTTGATATATAATCCCAAAGAGGAGCTGCAAGGTCATAACACAGTATTTTTCTACAGTGAATTCATTGTTGCAAACAAACTCTTTATATCTAATGCAAAATAAAGTCATTTTGTTCCATTTTTAATTTTTTTTTTTTAAAGGAAGAAACAGTTCTCCATCCCAAATGTTAAATTAAGTAATACTTTTAGGGACAATACATAAAAGGGTGACTATTCAGTCAAGCACAGAAAGCACACCACCAGTTGGGCTTTTCTTTCTTACACCTTTAAGCAATTTTACCTCCAGCATAGAAGTACTCTCAAAGCCATCCCCACACCTAAGCCACGCACTGGAAATGGAAGCTGCAGCCACTGATGCCCTGAGACTTGATTTTTTCAGCTGTAGGGTTGTCTCATCTGGGAAGGACGTGCACTCTGCATTCCAAAACCGCTTCCGCTAAGAAAAAGAAACCCATCAAAAACATGCACGTGCAAAATGCTTCTCAAGTGAAATTCACTTAACCTAGACATTCCCTTTTTCTAAATACTTCCAAACAAACTCCTTATTTTAAAATGGATGGAAAAAGTTCTGAACACTTCCAAGCATTTCTTGCGCAACACCACACGACAACAGTAGCGCTAATTGTCACAGCTAAATCTGACCTTTGACAAGTGTGCCTTTCGCTGCTCATCTACGTTCAGTTTGTAGTATCTGTCAGCTGCCCAACGAGGACGACAGTCCCAAGAGCAGCTCAGTAAAGTACATTATAACTACATAAATCCTTCAAACTCTCGTTTAATCTGATTGAATCCCGTGTTGTGCAGGAGGTCAGACCAGGTAACCAATAGCCAGCGCTCCATTACACAACCAGCAGCAAAATACCAAGAACACCAGGCAGAACTCTTTCAGCTTTACAGATAACATTTGTTTTCATCCATTTCTCCATAACGGCAGATGAAGTGAAGCACTTTCCTTCCGTGCAATGTGAAAGTCATTCGGACTATCAAGTAAGCTATGAAAACAGGCTCCTCATTTGCATCCAGCACTAATTTCATGCAATAGATTTTACACATGAAACCAGTTTAAACTGTTACCTCTAAGACTCTACATCAGTTTACACATATAAATTGAACTTGAGCATAGTAAAGATTTCAGTTCACTCTGCTGCTGAAACACTTTAGAACACTTTGACAGTACTTAAGAAGTACACCAAAACTATGTTAATCAGCACATAAAGATAGGGGAAAGAAAGAGGTCAGGGGCAGCTTTTGTGTCTGATGTGTATTTGTTTCTTCCTTAACTTCTGAGTGCTGGCCATAATGAAAAAGGTACTTCCAAAAAGCACACAGTGAGCAGCACCTTGGTTTGCCCTTCAGTCAACCAGTCCTGTTTTATACACTAAACCAGTCCTAATTATACAGTGAAACACAGAGAATAGATTCAGGCACATATATAATGCCAACTGATTTGTAATCCCACTGTAGATTACATAGGAATACCCAGCCAGTAATTTGCATGCAGATTAAAATCTATTTGTATTTTTCAAAAAGGGGATTCCAGTCAATTCCTTTGTTAATTTTTGCTTTGTTAGTTATTTTTAGAACCTTAACCAATGTTGGAAAGCTTGCCTATGTGTATGCTATCAGGACTTCTAAACCTATACAAGATAAATTTTGCATAACAAAACCTGCAGTATGTGGCAGATCAAAATGTGGTTCATCCAATCATGTTTCTTAACTGGGGTACTGCAATTTGAAAGAATGTGCATCTGTGTCAGTAACATCACTATGACTTGCTTGGGGGTTTACAATACACAGCTTCTGATGGTCAATTAAAAGCAGAGGCAGTTGGAAACAACTGAAAAAGCCACACAAATGCATGCACTAAGAGTTACATAAAATAGGCTTTGTAATGAATTTCTATTGTCAGGAAGCATTTTAAACAGGACTACAGAATGACTATGTCCTGTTTCTCACCATATTATCCTTAAAAATCATTAAATCCCTTTTCTCAGAGAATCCCTCAGTTTCTCTGCACTGCAAGTACCAATGGAAGCAAAAAGAACACTGCATAAGAAGTGCAGTGTGCCATGGCAGATGAGGTAGCATCAGTGCTGTGGGAAGGCACATATAAAAGAGGGCACACACACTACGTATATATGTGCATATATACACACATATGCACAGTGTTTTAAAAAAGAAAAATACACCATGTAAAACGCATATATTTCAATGTGCATAAAACAACTTGTGCTCATATAAACAAAGCACTTTTTCTTAATAGAAAGCTGTAATATGAATGCTCCGTGGAACAGAAAAATAAAGCTAGATTTACACAGACAAAGCTCAAAAGACAAATACTTAAGAACACAGGAGACACTGCTGAGTTCTCTCGGGACGAAGGCTCCAACCACCAGCCATGGGAGCAGCTCTGCAGAGCACTGTGCACTGCTCACGGGCACCATGGGACTGTGCCTGTGCTGAGGAAGGCAACGGCTGTGCCAGCCAACCCTGCGGAGCTGCTGCCCCTCACACCTCTGCACAGAGACCTGCTGCTGTGGGAACACACCGGCTGGCACATGAACAGCAAGGTTTAGCTCCGGTCTGCTTCAGGGCAACAGGGAAACTGATAGTTGAAGAAACTCGTTTCTCTCAGTATTTATAACAAAGCTAGTCCAAAGGACATGCTGTTCCTAAAGAACAGTGAGTTCCTTCCACCTCAAGTCACAAAGTTAATCTATCTTTTTCCTCTGGCATAAAAGTGGGACACAAATATATATTAGGTAATTACTAGTGTTGCACATGAAGTATCCAAACCCAAGGTACTGGTATTAGTGAAGTTCAAAGGAGCTAGACCACATGGATCCAGTGCATCTCAAAAATAAAAACGTACTCAGAATGAAGGGCCACAGAATAATCTCGTAGATTTGGGCACAGTGTCTGGAGACAAAATACGCCCTCTAATTTTGAGTTTAAATTCAGACTAGCATGGCTACCTTATGCAGAAATTGTCTGCTGACCTCTGTTCATGAAAGCACTGTACTTTTTCTCTGGAGCAATTCCTTTTAAGCAACAACAACAACAAAATAACAGTGCTGCATGTGTCACTGGATTAGGATCAACCCCTCCATGCCAAAGGCACAGAAAACAATCCTTCCCTCATTACCCCTGCAGTAACTTTCAGCAAAATAAAGGGCAACTCAGCCTCCATGGGTAGGGGTGTGCAGTGAGGAAAAGTGAGACAGAGACATCTCAAATACATAATGATTGGACACCAGACTGCTAAACGTATAAGGCTGGAGGGTTGGTTTTGATTTTTAACTAGATGGTCCTATCCAGAACATCTCCACTCAACCAATTCATATATCATTACTTCTGCAAATATTTGGTAAGCAGAGGCACCCTAAATGCAGTCACTGGGACATATGTTCAATGTCTACTAACTGCACACAACCATTTACACACCACACAATCTCACTTCCTTGAGCCTGTGCCAAAAACCACAAAACAAACCCCCACAAAAGCATGACCCAGTACCGTATCTAATGCATATGCCAGCAACATCTCTTTGATACATCGCTTTCTCTAACACAAGAACAACACAAGCTGAAGGACAAAAAAGAAAAGGTTTTGCTGTATGACTCCTGCTACTGACCTGCAGATCGGTTAGTTGCACCACTTAAGAACAGAAATTATTTCAATACACTTGTTGTATTCTTCTCTAGCACAGAGCAGGCAAGATGCTGAAGTTCTTGATCTCAAAGACTTTTTTCCCCCATTAAAAATAGCTTCTGAATACATCACAGAAGAACACAGAATGATATCAAACACTGACCAACAACCATTCTCATCTTTCACCTTCATCTTTACAGTCTTCGCATGAAAACACTCTTAAATTAGAACAAAGGAGTTCCAGGCTTTAAAAGCCCAATTTTAAGACTGCATAAAACTGAATTTGACAACAGAAATCTCATTCTCAGCAGAACTCAGCATTCATGCCACTGAGCTCCTGAACATAGAGTTTCCATTTTCAGTGCCTGGATGGAAATTGAGGTTTTCATTTGTTTGAAATATTAAAATATCCTTGCATTTTAAACCTTCAAGCAAGGATTTAAAATCAGGCTGTATTATTTCAACTCAAGATATTTTTTTTTTCCTTAATGAAAACCAGCATACATCCTTTCCAAAGTCAACTGGCAAGAATACCCAGAATCTTCACTAAGAAGTGTTCTCACCAAGTTGTAATAATTTGCAAAAAATGCTGAGCTGCATTACTACGGTCACAGTGACCTGGCATTCCTCCTTCCAGCTGTTAGCATGCACTTAAAAAAAATAAATAAATAAAATAAATATTTTACAAAATACTTCTCCTACTGATGCTGATGTAAGGGACGGGTATTTTTATATTTTAAAACTCTTATGTTTCTGATTTTTACGTCTGTTAACAAAAGCCTATTTTCTCATTAACTGATACACGTGGATATACACACACAACTATGTAATATTACCATTTGAAAGCTGAGCGTTTTTTTAAACCTATACATGCTTACGTAAGCATCAGTACAAGTTACTGTGATAACACTGAGGGAGAAAACCCTCCCGGAATAAGGATACTACTGAAATACACTTCTTGCACATAGCTTGTGCCAAGTCGTAGTTAGACACAAATCTGCACTTTACCAATCAAACTGATGATAACAGAAGTATATAGAAAAGCTTTCTCATGATTAGGTTATCCAAAACATTTCAGACACAATCATAACACCACACATTAGTTAATATCAGGTCAGTTTATTTCTTGAAGTGGCTTAATTAATTGAATAGTCAGCAAATGCAGAGGACTGCTGTCTTCTCACCTGACCAGTACAGCTGTCATTGATACAGTAACTAGAAACAGCCTCTACAAATTATTACCAAAAAGCTGTAATCAAACGTCAAAGCAATCTAGTTCAGCCTTAGTTGCTCACCTGTATTTTCCAACAGTCAATAACTTATAGAACCTTTAGAAGAAGTAGAGTACGTTACCTTAAGCCTGATGACATTTTTCAATAAAAATGACTTTAAACTTAGCTGTACTTAAAAAACTGGGGTGAAATACTCATACCATTTCCACCCATGTGCCAAAAAGAGAAACGATTTATTTTTATTTTTTTTTTAGCACCTACACCTGACACTGGAGGTCTGTACAAGGCTGCCCAGAGTACCTGTAGGTGTCCCTTCCCTGCAGGTGTTTAAAAGCAGCCCGGTCGGGGGCCCCGTGCAGCCCGAGCCGGCGGCTGGGGACGGCAGGGGATTGGAGCTCGGAGCTGTTTAAGGCCCGTCCCACCCTAAGCCATGCCATGGCTGCCCGCACAGGCGCCAGGCGGCAGCACGGGGCCGGGGGCACAGAGCAGCAGCACCCCGAACGGCGCGCGCCTCCTCTTGGCTCTCTTCCTGCCCGCGCCCCGAGAGACCGAGCCACCGAGAGAGCGTCAGGGAACCCGCCCGTCCCGACCAAAGCCCCGGGGTTTACTTTCCACGGCTGCCACCGACGCCGCCGAGCCCCGTCCGCGGGGCTCCGCCGTACCGCGGCAAACCCCCAAGGCACGACGCGAGGAGGGCACAGCGTCCAGGACGCGTCGGAGCGGGCCGTAGTCGACCCCTTCCGGGGAGCCTCAAGGCCCGAGCTCCCAGCGGCAAGGGCGGGCAGCGGGGCCGGAGCTCGCCCTGAGGGGAGCGCGGCTATTAACCCGCCTCACGCACCCCCTCCCGCACGGATCCCCTCGGCGCGCACGCAGGTACCTTCCGACTGGGCATCGCCCCCGGCAGGGCGGCCCGAACCCCGGTCACGTGGCAGGGGAGCCCTAGGGGCGTGGCGACAGAGGAACCCCCAGCCCGGCCGCACCGCCTCCCTTTCTAGCTTTGGCGCCAACAGAGCCGCCGCTCTTCATTGGGCGGGCCGGTGACGTCACGGAGGAGAGCATCGCGCATGCGCGTGTTAGCGCCCAGGCTTGGCGGGTTTTGTGGTGCCGTCGGGCTTCCGGGGGCGCTTCGCCATGTGGAGTGGTGATCCCGAGCAGTGAGAGGAGAGCCGTGTTTCGGCTGTTGGGGCAGGAGGAATCCTTTGGGTGGAGTCTGCGTCGCTCAGATCTGACAGGGATGATGGGTGCTGTGTTAACAGCTCAAGGAAATAAACAGCTCGTACCTAACAAAGCAAAATGCAAACACAAGACAAAATGCTTTATGTGAAATTCGCTTGCTGTTAAGCCACGAGCTTAATATGTTTAACTCTAAACAAACACCGGCATGCATTTACAGGCAAGAAAATATAAACAGTGCCAAAATGTAGGGCCTTTGAATGGAGCTTGTCTTGCTGCAAAAAGTCACTGCAGCCAACTGAAGGGCAGAGAAGGCTGACAGCCTTTGACAATGTTTTTCTGATTCAGGAGGAAGCACTGGCAGAAAAAGGGCATCCGAGTTATTTTTAAATGCTTTTGTGTTGTCTTGAGAAGGTCAGACTGTCAATGGTGGTGTAAGGATAGAATAATAAACAATCTTTGTAAAAGAAAGAGAAAAAAAAGAATTATGCTTTATATCTCAGCATAACTAGAATTTGTAAATATATATGTTTTGTTAGAAGGCACTGTATGACTAATTTTTGTTATTAAATCATAATTGCATGTATCTGCAGCTATACTGTACAGTTTGTATTTTTTCCAAGGCACCCCGGGCCAATACCTATCTCACATTCCCTTGGTGAAACTGACACTAATTAAAGTGCATTTTGCAGAGAGAGAGAACAGCCAGAATCATCATTTACAACTCATGCTGCCTTTGATTGTTATGTTCAAAACAGAGTTAAAAGCTGTATGTTCACATCCTTCCAAAAGCTTGCAGTACTTCTTTTCCAGTTACCAGATTGACAAATTAGTTCAATTATGCATCGTCAAGGTGGTTTTCTTTGATATTTCAAGAGGTATTACTGTGCTATTCAGTTAGATAGGTTATGTTAGAGCTAAATAACAGAAATACTCAAACCACAAAGGTTTAGCCAGATAAATGAATCTGTGTTATTTTTTTCTGTAGTCTCCTTTTAGGGATCACAAGATACTTGTATCTAGCAGGATTTTCCTTCTATGGAATCACAAGAAAGTGACCTAATAAACAGATTTATTTATTTGCTTTGATGTTCTTCATAAAGTAATACTAAAATGACATGGAAATAGAGGAAAGAAGCCAGAAAACAACCCTATATAGTATGAATTAAAATAGAGCTGTGATTGTTTTAAAAATAATTTTTTGTGAAAAAAGAATACTGGATAGCTAGCTTTTTCACAAAGGCCTAAAGAAGCTTTGTAATACTTGTACATTGTTCTTCCAGTCCGTTAAAAGTTTCTGTGGGTTATACCTGTCATCACATCTTGCAGGCATGAACAATAGTTTAATTCCATACTTTGATCTGATGTACCAATTGACTGTGCTCAAGATCATGATGCCACTGCTTAGGAAACATTAAGAAATAGAACTTTTTGTATTCCAGTGCATTAAATATTTATTTAAAAAGAACAGAAATTTCGTGTAATCAATAAAACAATTTCTTCAGTAAAATCTGAAAAAAAATTAAAAACAAAAAAGGGCATTTATTTTTCTGCTGTTGCTTGCATGGACATTTTTAAATCCATACAGAAAGAACTTCTCTCTCAAAGAAACAAAATGTATTTTAGACAAATTAATCAACAGATAAGGAGGCTTGGATTACTGAACCTCGAAGAACTTGTTTCTATTGAAGGAATGTGCCTGTTCTTCATTCTAATATGAGTTTATGGATTCATTTCCTCCGATGGAGCATTAAGTTACAACTCTAAAAGCTTTCCAGTGTATAAAACCTTCAAGGACAATGTCAAATTCGAACACAGAGGAAGATGTTTGGTTAAAGTCATTTCCTTAGCAAAGTTTTGAAAGTCACAAACATCCCAGCCACTTAATTGGAATGAGATATGGAGATAGCTCTAAGTATTTTAGAGCCCATGTTTCAGGATCAGCTTCTAACAGGTAATAGGTGATCCCAAAGCCTAGCCTAGATCAAAGACAAGTCAGTGTAGATCCAACACATTTTCTCCTGTAGACTGTGTTAAGTTTTTATGATTTCCAGCTTTCTAATGTTTCCTAAGAAACAACATGTAAAACTTCAAACTTCTTAGTCCCAAAGCTATGGCTTCAGTTCTGCTGCAAATTAAATGGTACCACTGCCCAGTGTGATATGCAGTGATATCCCTTTTTTCTTTCATAACACTTGTATCTGTGGTATAGTGCTCCTTTCTAATATTGTCTTCCATGCACCAGTGGCACAAAGTGTCTGATCTTTCAAAATAATAAATCGCTGCTTTTCTTTCAGTGCTACACATCATCAGCAAGCAGCACTGAAGTCTTGGGAATTCCCCTACTAATTTCACTGGAGTCAGATCTGGCCTCAAATTATTTCCCTCTGAGCTGCAGAAAGCTCTGTATGGGTAATTTCTTTAGTACTAAAGTCTGAACTACCATGAACATTCAAGCCAGAGATTTTATAAAACTTAAACCTTTCCTTTACTGAAAGTTAACTGTGCTCTGATTTGTGCATTTGCTTTAATGTTTATTTCATCCACACTCAAATTCATGAAATGGAAGTTCTTTCAGGTCATAATACCCACTTACTGGAGCCAGCTAGAGCTCTATTTTCCTCAGGCTACAACTCAGTAATTTTCCAGAACATATACAAGGGAATGTGCTATAGCGCTAAGGCTGCTTTCATTGCTTTTCCAACATTCCTGTGTGAAGAATAGGTAGGTTGAACCATAACTGAAACATCTGTCTGAAACAGCATCAAAAGCATCTGGGAGAAAATAAATAAATAAATACATAAGTTGTGAGATAAACCTCTGAACATACCATAGCACCCCAGACTGGCTGAGGCTGGCAGTGCCTTCTGGCTCTGTTGGACTCAAGCCCTGCTTCTGCAGGGACACCAGAGCAGGGGCCCAAGCCCATGTCCAGGCAGCTGCTGGAGGTCTCTGAGTAGCAGACCCCACACAGCAGACCTGCCTCTGGGCAGCCTGTGCCAGCGCTCTGTCATGTGCACAGCACAGAAGTGCTTCTGGCGCTCTGACGGAACATCCTGTGTTCCAGTTTGTGTCAGTTGCCTCTTATCCTGGCACTGGGCACCACAGAAAAAAGCCTGGCTCTGTACTCTTTGCACCCTCCCTTCAGACTTCTATGTACTGAGATCCCCTGGAACCTCCTCCAGGCTGAACAGGCCCAGCTCTTTTAGCCTCTCCTACCCAAAGCTGACTGCTTCAAATAAAGTCAAATGGGATGATTAGCAGACACAGAACATGCTGAGGTACAAATCCATAAAATTGCATTCTTACACATACGCAATCTTGCATTTTCTGGATAATGGAGCATTTGCTAGAGTTTTGTTTTGTTTTTAAATTATTTTATGTGTTCATCAGCAAGAGAGTTTTGAGTGAAGGAAATAAAATTTGTGCTCTATATCTATCAATGTGTATCTACCTTCTATATCAATATCTTCCTGGCAGCAATTCTTTTTAAGATAAACTTTGAAGCCTGTGGAGAGGAAAAATATTTTGTTACCTTTCAATAAAGCAAGTGCCTTTTCTACCACCTGAGTGGCTGAGGGAGCTGAGATTGTTTAGTCTGGAGAAAGGGAGACTCAGGGGAGACGTCATCATGCCCTACAACTTCCTGAAGGGAGGCTGAGATGAGGAGAGCTTTGGTCTTCTCCCAGACAACAAAGAGAACCCAAGAAAATGGGCACAAGTTGTACCAGAGGAGGTTTAGATTTGATATAAGGAAAAACTTCTTCTCTCAAACAGTGGTCCAGGGAGGTGGTGGAGTCACCGTCCCTGGCAGCGTTCAAGAGGCATCTGCATGAGGAGCTACAAGGTATGGTTTAGTAGCTTATTGTATAGTAATGGTGATAGGAGAAGGCTGGACTAGATGATCTTGTAGGTCCTTTGCAACCTTGTGATTCTACGTATCTATCACATATCTCATATTTGTTCAGGTGCATTTCTGCTTTTGTGTTTGAGGTTTGTGAGTGTCTGAGTTAAGGAATGAAAGCGATAACTAGAAAATGGTCAAGTCACTTTTAGTAAACTAGTTGTGTAAATAAACCCTCTGCTAACTACAGGAGTAGTCACGAGCCTTTCCTCAGACACCCTTGTAGATAATCTTGATAGCATAATACAGCTTAAAAACATGGTAGTAACAATGGGAGGTGAAGGGAACCCCAAATCAAAATCCAGTGTATGAGTGCACATTAATTTAAATTGTCGGATCCAAATACTTTACCTTTCCAGACTGGCATGAAGCGTTAACTCAGTAACGTGAAGCTCAGTACTTATGCACTGGCAGTTTTCAAGGCCTGATGTTCAGATGTTGCTATTGGAAGCAGAATGTGGGTGTGTGTCTTAAGTGATTAATATGTAATTAATCATAGAGAACAAGAGCCATCATATACAGCTTGCACTTAGTGATTTTAACTTGTATATAAATTCCTATCGAACCTGCACAGCTTGTAAAATAACACTGGCTCTCACAATGCCTGGAAGAGCTCGCAGGGCTGAGTAATGGGTTTTAATTGATTTCGTTGCTGGATAGATTCCCGTTGGTTAATAGGATCTCACGCCCTGACGTGCACAACTTCAACTCCCCACCGAACAGCGTGCAGCGAAGGTAAAACGAGGTGAAAACCGCGCACTCACGAGCATCTGCAGCCCAACAGTGGCTCCGCGCTATCTGCAATACGGAAGGCAGAATAACAGTTAACCAGAAATATACATTCAGGGCCCGAAGGCGGCAGACTGGAGGCGTCTCCAGCCACCGGCAGCTCGCCGGCAC